TTTTACAGAATTTACTACAAAACACCATAAAAACCGCCGTTCACTTAAGCTCTCTCCCCCCCGTATCCGGCGAGCCAACTGTATGTCTTTGGGCATGATGGTGACTCTCTTGGTGTGGATGGCACACAGGTTGGTGTCCTCAAACAGGCCCACCAGGTACGCCTCGCTGGCCTCCTGCAGGGCGCCGATGGCCGCGCTCTGGAACCTCAAGTCCGTCCTGAAGTCCTGCGCGATCTCCCGCACCAGCCTCTGGAAGGGCAGCTTCCGGATCAGCAGCTCCGTGATGATGACAAACTTGGAGTCTTTTTTAATGTTAAAAGCTGCATTAACCTCCTTTACATCCATAGATTTAATATGCTTTGAAGTGATCCTTTCTTGGAACTATAAGTGTGGCTGCTTGGGGAACAAAACCTCACCAGAGTTGTTATAAACTGTCTGTAGTTTCTTGCTCCAGAAATGTTAATGCAAAGCTTCTGGATGGTGTTTTAGAAAATCCTTAATTAATTTCCTTTTTTGTTTCCAAGACATGTTGGAGACATTAATCTCATGAGCCAACTGGCGAAGATACTGAACTGTCTTTTCCTTCTGTTTTTCAAATTCCTTGTTTGTCAATTGTTGGCAAAATGTGAAACCTTGAAAAAGAAAAAAAATAACAATTGAAAAACAAGTTTAAAAGCAATAATAATTTACTTGCTATATTATGAAAAATGGCCTTCCACTGTTCAGCTCTCCACCTCCCCAAAATGTAGTTGATAAATGAATTACATTCTTATTTTCTTTGCTTTATGGTAACAATTTTTTTTCTTTCTAAAGTGCTCTATGCTTTAGCCTCACAGTCTATATATATTATTTGATTTTCAAAATAATTCCATGAAAGTAGGAGAAACAAGGAACTACTATCCCACTTTGAAGACTGATCAAACCAAGCCAAACCAAACACGCTTTTGTCAATTCTGACTCACAGCTGCTTTATAGGACAGAGTAGAAATGTCTCATCGTGTGTTTTAAGCGGTGAGTAATCTTTGTAGGAGCAGCAAGCCAGGTCTTTCCCCCGCAGAGTCACTGAGCGAGTTCAAACTGCTAACCTTCTGAAGATCAACAGTTATGAGCTTAAACCTTTGTGCCACCATTACAATAATATAATACTGAACAGTCAATATGCACTTACTACATGGTTCTTTTTTCTTGATAATCTTCAGTATCCTATTATTTTCTTCCCTGTTTTTTTTTTTTTTTTAAATTATTTTGTGTGTGTACCGTCAAATTGGATCTGACTGGTACAGGAGATTATCCCTTCTTCTCCAGAAGAGCATCTGGTGGATTTGAACCGCTCACCTCTGGGATTGTCATCCCTGTTTTAATGATAAAAACATTGACCACAAAATTAGCAAGTGGCTGAGCTGGGGTCTAAGCCCAGGATTGTTTACTCCCAGGGCGAGAGGATTTGTTGCTGTGTTCTGCCAAGAGGATTCAAACTCCTAGTGACCCTATTGGACAGAGAACTGTGCCATATGGTTTAGAAGGCTGTGATCTTTATGCAAAATAATGAAAGCATCTTTCTCCCAGGAAATGGCTGGTGGGTTCAAACCATTGACCTTTTGGTTAGTAGCTACAATATACTACTAAGTAAACTATACTGCTTTTAGCCCTGTCACAACTCTCTTCCACGTCAGAGCATCACATATGTGCCACTTTTCTGTCTCAGCCTCTCTGTTAGCATCTTTTCTTTCCCATTCTGAGCCAGATCAATAGCTAAATATCGAAATCACTTTCTCATACACATGGACCCTCAGTATTCTTGCCTTCCTTATCTTTCTTCAAGACCTGACAAAGCCGAGTGGTCAAGCTTGTTTCTCCAGGGGGCACTCTTCCAGGGGGTATTTGAGCTGCCTTTAGAGTCTTGGCGTCTTAGGCTGCCAGAAGGTGGGTGGCGTGTAGATCTTTTTTTTTCTTTTTTCCAGCTGTGGATGCCTTTCAGGACTGCTTTCTCAGCCTTTCACACCTTTATTTTGGCTTCAGTTTTGGGAGGGGCATGGGTTTCCGTCTTCGCTTTTTGGTGCCATTCTTTGTATTAAGTGTAATAGTTTCTTAATTCAGAAGCCTGCCTCCATTCTACCCTTTCCAAGCCCTTCTCTACACGGTTGCAGGCATATTCTAGCTACAACACAAATCTACTCATATCACTGCTGTAAAATTCCACTCCTCAGCTGACATCTGTCTGTCTGTCTCTCTAGTGTCAAATCCTACCACTCTTGTGCTGCAGTTGCTAACACTTTCCTGCTTTTACTCATATTTTTCTGTTTACTGTCCCCTTCACTCTCTTCTCCACTACTTTGCTGGAATTTTCCCTCCACTAACCACCTCTTCAAGGCCGCTACTGGACATTATATCTTCCACAAGTCTTACCAGGTCCCCTCAAACTAGATCAAGTGGCCTTCCTCTAGTCTCCCTAATAGTCTCTGGCTTAAACATATCTCTGTTAAATGTTGTTTCTGAAATATATTTCTGCCCCTCTCCCTTACCAAATATGAGAATATTTCTTCTACCGAATTAGTTCACTCAACAAATATCTACTGAGTATCTTCTATGTAACTTCAACAATAGATACGAGCTGCAAGCAAGGGCATAATCTTGTGTATTTCTGTTATTTGTACAAAGTCTGGCACATGGTAAGTTATCATGGATTGAACTGTGTCCACCACAATTTGTGTCAACTCGGCTAGGCCATGATTCTCAGCATTGTGTAATTATATGTGTAAATCCCAACATCCATGATGTTAATGAGGTAGGATTAAAGATAGTTATGAAATTATGATAGTTATGAAATCATTTCCTACATGTGCGTTGATGTGATTAGCCAGTCAGGTCGAAGGGGATTAGAATGGGATGCAACATTCTTACTCAGGCCACAGCCTTGATTGGACGGCCATAAGATGAGTGTGGTTAGCATCGCCTTTGGTAGTTCAAGGGGTAAAAAGAGATAGAATCAGAAAGACAAAGAGGAACTTTAGTATCAACAACCACCAAACAAAAAAAAATCAAGGAGTGGATCGGATTCTTTGCAGCCTGGTTGCTAGGAAGTTCCTAGAATCAAGAAACAGAGAGAGAGGGAGAACGTCTTCACCTAGATGTGGCATCCCATGTTTGAATTTCTACCTTCTAAGATGTGACATAATACATTTCTATTTAATAAAGCCATTGATTTTGGTATTTCTGTTCTAGCACCATGAAATAACCAAGACAGTAGGGATATAAAAAGGTTTAGTAAATAACTGAGTAGATGGACAGATGATTCCTAAACATTAAAAACCTTCTAATTTTAATTAGGAATTTCGAGTCATCAGACATGGAGGAAAAATAGAGATAATTTAAACATTCATCAAGTTGTGTGCTGGGAAAGCTACTGCTGTTGAGTCAATTCTAACTCATAAAGACACTACAGGACAGAGTAGAACTGCTGGTCAGGTTTCCAAGACAGTAAATCTTTATAGAAGCTGATTTTCATTGTTCTTCTGTGGAGAAACTGGTGTATTCGAATTGCCCACCTTTTGGTTAACAGCTTTAATAGATGCTTTAATTACAGCACCTCCAGGGATTCTTGGTGTGCTGCCTGATAATTCATTGAATAATGGCTAAACCTCAATAAGAGATAAACTAATCAAGATATCTAAGGCAATATAACAGGTAACATAATTTTCCAAGTACTTGGGACAGCCCATCATTCTATGCAAAGCATTTATATTCATTACTTCCCTTTAAAAGATATGTTGTTGTTGATTGCCATCAAGTTGAGCACAACTCACAGTGACAGTATGAACAAAAGACCTTTGTCTTTCTGTAACTATTATTGTTTCTCAAAAGTCATAGAGTTTCTGGAGGTATGTTGTTTAGGAAGTGAATGCCACTCCTGCTTCCAATTAAAAGACATGAGTGAATGACTATGGAATGAAAATAAGTATTACAATGTCTATCAATTCCTCCATTTTGCTCAAATCCAAAAATATATATATAAAAAAAAAATTCAAGTGAAAAGTTAACTCAGTAATGGCAGCCAATTGAAGTTGGTCTTGAAACTAGTCAGATGACATCAAGTTCATCCAAAAATTGTTGAGATGTTAATTTCAGAATATTTCATTAGCACTATTGTTTAATGGCACCAAAGAAACAACATGTACATGGCAACACACATGTTGTCATAGGCTTTGTATTCAAAAGAAAGAAAGGGGGGGACTGTGTACCAATGAGGCAGTTTTTCTTTTGCTTTTCAAGGAGAGGAGCAAATGGGGGGGGGTGTGGGGAGAAGGGTGCAACAATGAATGAATGGAATTCCAAAATCTCTGTAGATGTTCATTGA